CTTCTCTCTCCCCTCTCTCCTCCCTCTTAATAATGACCTGATAAGGACCCATTTTGGTTCTTTGAAACCAGAATGCAGCAGTTACATCCTGCACCTGCCATCACTCTATTACATTTAGAACCCTACATTAGATTCATTATGCTTTGATGATAAAAAAAGAAAAGAAAAAAAAAAGTGAGGAATAAAACAGCCTCCTCTTTATTTTAACAGAAGGCAAAAGTGGTACCCAGGAGGCCACAGGACAAGCAGTGTCCACAGCACAGCCACCAGCAGGTAAGAAATGCGGAGCCAATAGCTGCCTGACACAGCACTGGGAAGTCCTGGATTGGAGGCATATCAAATATGTAGGCCTCCTGCAGTCCTGACTCGTTTCTGTGTTGGAGCATTGCATCTCCAGTCCAGAAAATCATAAGGAAATTAATTTTCAAAAAACAAATCTTTTTAAGAATGATACTTGTCAGGAGCTTTTTTCTATGTGGGCTTCTTGCTATGGAACGATCTTCCTTTTGCTGATGCCAAATGCTTTTTTTTTTTTTTCAGGTAAACGACTAAAGAAAACACCCAACAAGAAAGCTGGCAATAAAGGTAAGAGTCCAGATAGCCATTTGGAAAAATAACATCCTCCCTGCCCCCCTCCCTCCCTCCTCTTGAAACTGCTAACGGAAAGACTTGTTTGGGTTTTCACAGACTGTAAAGCAGACATTGCATTTCTGATTGATGGAAGTTTTAATATTGGGCAGCGCCGATTTAATCTACAGAAGAATTTTGTTGGGAAAGTGGCTCTAATGCTGGGAATTGGAACAGAAGGACCACATGTGGGCCTTGTTCAAGCCAGGTACCAACCTTGTTAGAATGGGAGGAGACTTGAATGACATCTTGAATGTTGACAAATGATCAGTCCTCTTAGTAGGTACATTCGTTTCGGTTCAGTATACACATACTGAGTTGTGGACAATCTGGATGCCCAAACTATAAAGTAAGGATTTAAGACTGCCTGAGCAGACTGCATAGGTCTAGTGCTTCCTTTTTGGAGAAAAGGAATTAGAGAATTACATGCTATTTGAGGACTGGAAGGTCACCTGAAAGGTTTGTCCCTCAAATTACTGCCCACGTCTACTCTGCTCAGTTCCTAATTTCTCTTCGCTGAAGGAAGGGCAGTGATATGTCTGTTCCTCCTCTCTGCTCTGTTATTTTTAGCTCTTTCCATACTCCCTTAATTGGAGATCTGAAGCTTGACCTTTCAATTTTTATTCATTTAAAAATAATACTTACTGATGCGCATTATAAAACTTTGAAAAACATATAAAGCACAAAGAAAACAAATTTCCCAAATATACGCTCCAGAGATAATCACCGTAGAGTGTCTTCCTTCTTTTCAGTATTTTAAGAAAATATTTGATTATACATATGAGTGTATTTCTTGATTTTCAAAAGCTCGGACTATAAAAATGTCTTATGTCTTGTTTTTTTCATCCCTGACTAGTCCGAGCATTTTTTCACCATGTCGCGAAAACCCTTCAGAAATTAATGTTTCATGTTGCTTTGCGTGACCGATTATTCAGCGGTTCTGCTGCAGCCTCTTCGCCCCCACCACGCGCACGCTGGGGTGGACATCCCGGTCGCATCCGTGTGTCCTCTCTCACGGCGCTGGATGCCCGGGAGTGGGCTTGGGTCAGGGGTTCTGACATTTTATTATTCGTTTGTTTGTTTATTTATTTTATTATTTATTTATATTTATTTATTTTTTAAAAGCTTCTGCACAGGTTTTTATTTTATTGATTTCAGAGAGAGGAAGGGAGAGGGGGAGAGATAGAAACATCAATGCTGAGAGAGCCATTGATGGGCTGCCTCCTGCACGCCCCCTACTGGGGATCGAGCCCACAACCCAGGCATGTGCCCGGACCGGGAACGGCAACCCCCCTGGATCCTAGGTCGACGCTCAACTGCTGAGCCACGCCCAGCCAGGCAGTTCTGACATTTTTAAGGATTTTGAAATAAAGTTAAATTGCTTTCTAGAAAGTTGGTCCAGTGTACACTACTATCAGCAGTAAGGGTGTCTCCAGTATTGTTACAAATATTAATTTATATTTAATTTGTTCTTATATTGTTTTTACAACTGGTTCTTAATTTAGATAGAATTTTTTAGTGTGAGAATTTAACTTTGTTTGCTACATGATTTAACCATTTGCTTCACATCTTTTTTTAAAAATTGTGATATCAATTTTATATACAAGTTTAGGCAAGTCTGTTTCTTTGATCCATTTGCTACCTCTTACATCTTTTCTACAATGCTTTATTGCAGCCTTATTTACACTTTCACATTCCATAAGGCAAATTCCCCATAGTACTTTCCTTCCTATATTTTTCCTTTGCTATTTTTACCCAATTGTTTTTCAAGATGAAAACTACACTACCCTGCAGACTAGCTTATCTATGAACTTCTCAGTTCATGGTTTTTCTGTTTTAAGAAGAACATTAGAATAAACTATACATAGAGTTTCTATTTAAGCAGAATAACAATATATCATTAAGGATGCAAAAATAAGACTAAATTTCATAAATCATAATTTGGATAGTTGAGAAGTGACTATAAAAGTGAAAAGGTTATCAACCCATGAAATCTGACTTTGTGACCCAGAATTCCACAGGTATGTAGAAACCATGCCATCAGCAGACAGAAATACCACCAGGGCTACACCTGGCCCTCAAAAATCTCAACTTAATGGCAATCGATAATGCTAAGATCTTAAAATGTTGTACTTATGAAATATTGACTTATCTAAAAACAGTGCAACAAATTGTGCTTTAACTGGTTTTACTCAACATGGTCTCTAATGAACAGAGTAGTTTATAAAAGTGAGCTCTAATTCTTTTACTATTACATATGGAAAATCTCAAACCTTTTACCATACACATAATTTTAAGATTAGCAAATGTCATTATCACTTATTATAAGAAAAATTCAATAATGTTATACTTTTATCATTTGTTTCCTTACAACTTTTCGTATTTTTAAAATGTTGGCCTTAGCGTCATTGAAACTGTCTGTTCTAACCAGAGACCTGGGTGAATAGACCAGACTGTTCAGTGCTCCAGGGTCTCCCTGGAGCAGACCTAGCCTCACGCCAGGCAGATTTCCGTTAAGCCCAGTGCCCTGAGCCAAGCCTGGTTTCAGGTGCTCCTTATAGTTTAGTATGGACTTTGGAGCCAAACAAATCTGAATTTAAAGTGTGGTTATGTTTTGTTGGGAAAATTACCTAAATGCTCTGAGCCTGTTCCTCCATTTATATAATAGGGATAATAATTTCTATCTTATAGTTATAATGAAATGAGATTATACGTAATATATAGCATACACCCAGAATATAGAAAACCCTCAAGGTAGCAATTGTTTTTGTTACATTTCTGAAAGATCCCTAAAAATTCAAGTAAAGATGCAATGCCTTAGTTGATGATATAATAATGTGCGATTAAGAAAGAAACTTGGGTCATTGTCCACTTTAAAGATTTTTAAGGTATGTTATTTGTTTTCCTTTTCCAAGTCTCTCTGAATAAGTTTTTTTTTTTTTCATTTTTCCACTTAGTGAACATCCCAAAATAGAATTTTACTTGAACAACTTTACATCAGCCAAAGATGTTTTGTTTGCCATAAAGGAAGTAGGTTTCCGAGGGGGTAATTCCAATACAGGTAAGTAGACTTTGGCGCCTGGGATGTAACACAGGAGGTTATGAATGATCAGATATGTATAACAGTATCGTGCTATTTTATATAAGGGGACGTGAAACTTTTCTTCCTGTCACTGGAGTCTTTGATAGATGTGCACTTGATGATTCAAGATGCTCAATTTTTAATGGAGAATATACCAAAGGGTTCATTGATACAGCTTTAAAATAAAGCAATGTGATTTATAATCCTTACAATGAATAGGGCAGATGTCACTTTAGAGAGGTACGGGTTTGGAATGCTAAAAAGCAGCAGAGATCAACAGATTTACCTAACGAATGTGGATGTTGTAGAGACAACCAGACCAGCACTGCGGATCCTCAGAAAGGAGGCTTCTTGTTCTGAGTCCTTAGAGGTACTAAGCAGTCTCTAGGGCGAGATGGAGCGCTCAGGTACAGGGGTGGGAGTGTTTTTATTTCTGACTGATTGATGTAAGGAAAGGAAATGTGAGGCTTTTGGGAAATGATGGGGTAAGTAATGTGGGTTGTGAAGACAAAATTGGCCAGATAATTAAACTTTCCCATCTTATGCATCTGTTATAGAACTAGGTTCTATGTAAGTTCAATTCTTAAACGAGGTGGCATCAGGTTGGTACAGGGAAACAGAAACGTCACTTGAGCAGTGGTGCTGTTCCAGTTTGCTTCTTTCACACCTAGGAAAAGCCTTGAAGCATACTGCCCAGAAGTTCTTCACAGCAGACACTGGTGTGAGAAAGGGGATCCCCAAAGTGGTGGTGGTGTTTATTGATGGCTGGCCTTCCGACGACATTGAGGAAGCAGGCATTGTGGCTAGAGAGTTTGGTGTCAATGTCTTTATAGTTTCTGTGGCCAAGCCTATCCCTGAAGAACTGGGGATGGTTCAGGATGTCGCGTTTGTTGATAAGGTAAGGAGGTGAGGGGTGTCTTCTGTTACGGCAGTGATTCAATTTTGGACCTCGAGGCATAGTGCTGACTGGCCTAAATCTGGGTTAACTTTGAACATTCAGGATTTAATGTTTTCATAATTTTTAAGAAGAAACAACAGTTGATCCCTTTGGGTATCTTTTCTGTCTCCCCCTCCCCCACATTAGGCCGTCTGTCGGACTAACGGCTTCTTCTCTTACCACATGCCCAACTGGTTTGGCACCACAAAATACGTGAAGCCTCTGGTGCAGAAGCTCTGCACTCACGAGCAAATGATGTGCAGCAAGACCTGCTATAACTCAGTGAACATTGCCTTTCTAATCGACGGCTCGAGCAGTGTTGGGGACAGTAATTTCCGCATCATGCTTGAATTCGTTTCCAACATAGCCAAGACTTTTGAAATCTCAGACATTGGTGCCAAGATAGCTGCTGTACAGTTCACCTATGATCAGCGCACGGAATTCAGTTTCACTGACTATAACACCAAAGAGAATGTCCTAGCAGTTATCAGAAATATCCGCTATATGAGTGGTGGAACGGCTACTGGCGATGCCATCTCCTTCACCGTGAGAAATGTGTTTGGTCCCGTGAGGGACAGCCCCAACAAGAACTTCCTGGTCATTGTCACAGATGGGCAGTCCTATGATGATGTTCGAGGCCCTGCTGCTGCTGCACATGATGCAGGTAAGGTCCTTCCTTGTCCTTTGGGAAGGGAAATTGGGGAGGGTTCAGTGAATTTTAGAAGTAAAACTAAACGTAAGCGTTGATTTCATTGAACACACATCTACAATGTCGCAGTCACATTCTAAAAGCTTTACCCAATATTATCTGATTTAATTGTCAAGACTGCTCTACTAATCTCATTCCAGATAAGAAAATGAACTTCCCCCAAACACACAATAAGTGAGGCCAGTATTCAAACCCAGGCAGTCCGGCTGAGTCCACACTAAGTTCAGTAAATTCGTTAACCACTGAACTTACTATTGGGGGAAATACCATGAGAACCATGTCTTGAAAATGTTACAGCTTCTCATGTTTGACTTAGACTTGGGATATATCCGCCGCCCCCCCCCC